AAATAAAAATTAAAAAAACTAAAAAAAAAAAAAAGAATCTCTGCTCTCCAGCAGCCAGTCTGCTGACCACTGGAGAAGAATAACAGGTAATGAGGCCAGGCATGGTGGCTCATGCCCGTCATCCCACTTCGGGAGGCTGAGACAGGAGGGCTTACTTAAGGCCAGGAGTTTGAGGCTGCAGTGAGCTGTGATCACGCCACTCCAGCCTAGGTGGCAGAGTAAGACCCTGTCTCTAAAAACTAATACATTAAATTAAATTTTTTTAAAAAGATAATCAACTAAGTAAATGCCATTATAGGTCCTTATAAGGTCAAGGGACACTAGCTGCTCAGGCGCACCAAGGAAGACTTTCTACATGTGGCGCCATTTGTGCTGGCCTTTGAGTAGAATTGGGTCTCCCAACACTGAGTCGGGCCCTTCTCCCACTCTGTCCTGCTGCCTGGAGATTCCAGGACCTGTCTTCGTGTCTGACCTTGGCAGGCAACCAAGGACCCGTCAACTTGAGACATCGTCTTAACCTTTCTGGAGGTGACTGCTCTCTCCCTTCCCTCAAAAAATTACTAAAATTGAGAAAGTGCACCCAGATAACTGAGTAGGTGTTGAAGACTTACAGTCCTAGGAGGTGGGAGGGAGCAGGTTCTCCTCATGCTCTCTGAGATTTATGGGTCTATACTTATTTTAGCCTCCAATCAAGAGATAAAGTCTATATCTCCATACCTTAAATCTGGTCTTGGCCTTGTAATTTGCTTTGGCCAACGGGACATTAGTAGACATGATGAAAGCAGAGGTTTGGTGATGTCTTGTGTATTAGGACTCCCATCTTTTGCTGCTCCTTGAAACTGAGACCACCAAATGAAGAAGCCTGTCCTGCTTATTTTCATCCATGGTCTTACCTGGACCCCAGTTCCCAAGTCCTGGTCTGCTCTTTTTTTGTGTGTTACTCTCTACCTGCTGGACTTCTAGAAGGTGTCTATGAGCACAGGTCCCAATGAGATAGGGCAAAGGCTGACCATGCACACCCAGATCCCATAGTCTTCTGGGATGGGATATACAGAGCCTGTGCAAGAGTCCACAGTCCACATTGCCAGATGGGGGTGGGGATCATCGTTTCTATCTAAGGCTCTCTGTTCCATCAGCAGACCCAAAGGACTTCCTCTTCTGGTTCGGAGTTTGGGCAACGCGGCCATCCTCTCTGAACATTTCTCTCAAACCCTCACACCCTGCTCCCCTACCACCCCACCCATCCTTGCTAAGGGTAAGGTTGTCACCTCTCATATGAAAGAGAACATTCAACAGCCGGGCTCGGTGGCTCAGCCTGTAATCCCGCGCCTTTGGGAGGCTGAGGTGAGTGGATTGCCTGAACCCGCGGGTTCGAGACCCGCCTGGGCAGCGAGACCTCATCTCTACAATAAATCAAAAAATCAGCCGGGCGTGGTAACGCATGCCTGTAATTCCGGCTACTTGGAAGGCTGAGTAGGAAGGATCGCCGGAGCCCAGCAGGTCGAGCCTGCGGTGGCCGGGAGCGGCCACTGCACTCCAGTCTGGGTGACAGAGTGAGACTCCAACTCAAAAAAAAAAGAAAGAAAGAAAGAGAACATTCACATTCTGCCAAGGACAAGTGCCTACTGTGTAAGACGATCGGGTTGGTTTTATCACTGAGACAAATCTGGCAAAGCTAAATCTTGGAAAGAAAAAATAAACCCAGCAACATTGATGTAACCAATAAGAGAAAGGGGAGACTTATTAGCAATTAATTGTCAACCACACTGACGATAACAACATATTAGCAGTGGGTTTGAGCAGTGGTGATATGAAAAATATTTTTTAGTCTCAGTACTAGCTTTTTTATGCATGCACACATGACTTTTTATTCACCCACCCCTATTATTTAACTTTTGGACCTTGCTGTTTAGTCAAGGATCATAGAAAATCCTTTCTCCCTTCCCTCACTGAGCACTCACTGAGTATTTTACATGGGATTGTCTCATTTAATCCTTACGATGACCCTATGAGGTATACACGGTGATTGTCTCCATTTTCAGATAAGGAAACAGGCTCAGAGGTATTAAATACTTGCTGGAGATCAAACATACAGGGACAGACAAATCTGGGACTTAAACATTTGTGCATCACAGCATCTCACTACACTGCAGGGCCCAAGAGAAGCCACTGGACATCGACTTGTAACATGTAAAATAGGAAAATGTGGCAGTGAATTACAAAGTTTTTGAAATTTGAAACCCAACAACATCTATACAAACAAGAAGTCAACTGTGAGATGAAGAGGGGCATCTCTGGAGGCTGCGCGGAGAGTCACGAGCAAAGCAGAATGCCCCTGCCATCCCAGACTCTGCCTGGTGCTATTCAAACT